CCCCTTCTTTTCGGATGGTAACGCTGCATATGTGTTGAGCATTTATATTACAAAAGAAACATTTTTTTAACAACTTCTCATCCCATTTCCCCATTAAACATCCTCGTTTTATTTTCATTCATATTTTATAGCTGCTCATTGGGTGTTTAATCACAAGAAAGTTACAACACTACTTATAAACAACGTAATACTGCTAATGGCCTCCTTTACCACCTCCCATGTTATTGTAAATTTGCAATAAATAAATAAAGGCGAGTCGAGGTAAATATATTCCTTCAAAGCATGTTGCATCTGAGATTTAATTTTATCTTCGTATCTTAATTTTGTTGAAAAAGCAAAAGGTTTATAGATGCAATTCACCTTTCTTGTTTTGTTGTTTTCTCCAGACCAACAGCACACACACAGGAAGGAGAAAGGAAAGGAAAGAAAGGAAAATGAAATAGGGAGTCAGGGACGAGGTCGTAGTATTGTTGTTCAAGAGTATGAATGGTTTATACATCCTACATGCGGCAACAACCCACTGTTTTCTTTGGGTTAAGAGAGAATTACCTAATGCACTGTACATTGCATTTGAATATTCTGTTTTTATTAAATGCAAACGCAAACATGAATTGCATCACAAGTTCATAAATTTATGATTTTTACTCTAGTCCTGTGCTTATTTGATGAATTTAGAGCGATGTAGATCAAATTACCCCTCGAGGAACTCAAGAGAATTTGATGTGTTGAAAGATGATTACGTGGGTTGGTTTAGCAAGTCAAGCAACGTTGCGACGATTTGTAGTTGTGTTGTTGGGTTTGGTTAAAATGTTGATTTGCAGATTATTTATGTTGGTACAGTCGACAAGAAGAGAAGGAAGTGGTAGTGGGCTGTTTGCGATTAATCTATAGTGGCTACTGTTTTGTTGATTTTGAGAAATTCTGGGGTAGGTTTGTGAGAGTGGGCTATTGAGATGAAGATAATGGCTACTAGAAGCTATGTCTGGCAATCTGTTGTATGGTGGCAGCTCTAGTGTTTGAAGACGAGGTGATGTTGGGAGCTGTTGCGGAAGCTCTCTTGAAAGATCTTCAAATTGGTGATTTTCGGGCTCAGTCCAACGCACCTTTCTCAACCAACAACTAGTCCAATTGGCTCCAAACCACAACCAATTGATTCACCTTGGTTTCTATTCAATCTTCCCCACTTAGGACAAGAAAGGATGATGATTTGTGGCTACAAAGGCTAGGAGAAGACACCACAAAGGTATACTATGAAGGAACCACCAATTGCAAACGTTATACAAGCGCTCTAGGCACTTCTAGAGACATTTTTTCTCACACAAAAGGGGACAGCCGGGATTCTCTTTTTCTTCTCTCAAAATCACACAATACATCATGAGAAAGTGGTTAGGGTTATAGCCATAT